CCGACCCTTAATCTATGAATCTATGAATCTATGAATATATAAAAATACATTTCCTGGTAAAATACCTGTGCTAGACAAGAAGTGTGTTTTGAAAAGCAGACTGTTCAGCTAGAGTAATGAATCAACTGCTGTCAGGCATAAAGGCGAAGCCGTGGCAGTTTTCAATGGTTTAACAATAGGCCATTCTGGAGAGTTTCAAAATTCTTTCAGTTCCTTATTGGAACAAAACCAAAAGTTTCAATCACTTGCATGAAGTTGAAATACATCAAAACAGAACACCTTAATGTTTTAATTCCATTTCTCCATGACCCCAGTGCATAGGACTGCAGAAACCTTCACCAAAACTTTGTCAGAAGCAATGTTATCTACAAATGCTTCTTTTCGATGATACGTGGGGTTATTTTGGGGAAAAAAGTCAATTTAATTGAAAATCTTGTGACAAATGTCTTTTAAACAGATTTGCAAATACAGACTGAAACTTCAGAGATGTTGGATACCTGGGCCCTGTAGAAGCTCTGTACTTTTCCTACAATTTCCCACACCTATGCTCAAGGGGGTTTGGGGTTGGTGGCTGGAAGAAAGAATAATGGTGCAGCATCTATCTTAAATGCCTAGTTGGTCAGGTTACCCAAAATGTACAAAAAAGAAAGGTAACTCAGCTGGCCATTAGACCATTTAGTGGCTGCAATAACATGCAGGGATCAGTTACAGAGAAATTAGCATCCCACTCTATTTCTGTTTCGGGAAATACATTCTGAATCTTTCATACCCAAAACAAGAGGGGAATTGTTTTTCTGAGGTTTTGCGCAGGAAAGAGCATGAGTTTTGTTTAGAAAAAAAACAGTGTAGGGCTTTCATTACTCGTGCTTTTAAAGATCTCCACAGAGCACACCATTCATATACTGCAAGTTTTCCAGGACCATAATGGAGGCAGGTTGTGCAAGGCCAAGTCTCAACTATGTATGGGGGGGTCTTAGTTTTCCTTTCTCACACATCCTCCACCTGCCTACTTCCGCAGCACGGGACAGCGTACCCATCTTTCCTGGAAAGCTGACGCTTATTTCTCGTTCCTCCTCTCAAATGATGTGGCTAATTGTTTTCAGCACTGCAGGCACATTGAGCTTCATTTGTTTGTATGACAAACAAGTTGAACCTATTGTGCAGAATGAGCCAGTCTCTATAGCCTAAGAAAAGTTACTACTCCAAAAAAAGGAAGGAGCGAGAACAACGTACAGTAGGCTATCACCAGCTGTGGGGGTCTAGTGCTGAGATACAGGACAAGGGGAGAAAAGGTTACTCACCTAATGTTAAGATACGTTAACATCTGTAGATTTTTAATAGCTTCGGGAATGGATTTGATGCAATTGTGATACAAATTTAATGTCTCAAGTGGTGCGAACAGCCATACATCAGGAGGAATTTCCGTGAATCTATTTTTTGATAGGTCTGTGGGAAAGAAAAGAAATTTCTTAAGGTCAAAAATTTACCAAAGACCGGAGAAATGCAGAGGACCAAGAGACTAGCTGAGAAAAATGATCATAAAACAGATGCCTATGATTAACCTAATCAGGTTAAAACCTTGAAATAAAAAAAAAAAAGGTTAACGGTTGTACCTTTCACCATTTTTACCCTTTGCTTAAAAAAGGACCCAGAATCTAAACTTATGCCACCACCTATTCCCTGTAAAATTAAAAATGTTCAACAAATATCAATCATGATTTTCAATTCTCTTTCTCTCTGTCTTTAATCTACAGGATTCCCTCTCATCTTTCTCCCTTGCTAGGCACAACAAGACAACACCTAACAATAAGATACAAACTCGGAGACTACTACGGTCCTTTGGAAGCATGTAATTTCCTTTAACGTCAACATTTATTCTTTCAGCCAACCCAAATATAATTTAATATTCAAGCAAAATTTATTCAGCTAATTAAACTACAAAACAGCAAAGAATGGGCAAAATCCACGTGTCTATTTTAAGAGAATTTATCCCAACCATGCAACTGGTCCAATAAGAGATATCAGCTACAAAAATCCTTGCTTCACATCAAACCTGGACCATCATGGCTAAAACATCACTCCAGAACTGCCACCTTCGTTACCACGAATGCAGGCAATTTCTGCTTTCCCAATTATACAGATGGCCCAAGGACTTCCCACATACACTGCCGCCAAGGCAACATTAAAAATCAGTTTAAAAAAAAACTTCCGATGACTCCTCTCAAAATCCACCCTAGACATCCACGTGCCGGGAAGTTCCGCACATCACCCCACTGTAGAATAGAGAGAAATCAGCAGCTCCTCCCCGGAAAACGTTATTCAGCATTGCCACAAACCTAGCATGATCTCCATACAACACACTGGCAAGAAGGAAGGAAGACTGTCAGTCACCTATTTGACATTCTCACACTGTACTGAAAAAACTGAACACCACTTTTAACATTGAACCCCAAACCATAAAAAGTCTTCTGGCAAACTGAAGCCAGACTGTGTTAAGTGGAACTGCACAGTGAATTAGTATTTGCAGCTGCCATTCAGAAAATAAACTGGATGAATACTGTGAAACAATGGCTTCCAGGGACATTGATTTTGAAATCCTGCTTCCTAAAGTCTAAGACATGTGAAACTTGAGTGAACAACTACTTACCACCAAAAATAAATGGAGGAAGTTACTGATATTTTTAGCAAACCTTCTGTACATAAGAAAAATACTCAACTGTAACTGCTAAAAGTCCTTCTGTGACAATCAGTGTGGCCAAGTAAGGAGCACTCTTTGCTGTTGGGTCCCTGAGGCTATAACAAGAATCTGTTCCGCTAGCAAAAAGACCTTGATGTTGGAGAAAGGGGAGGAAAAATATTTATCTGCGTATAGGGAGTTAACTGAAATAAACTAGCTGGGTAGACTTGTTAAAGCCTTTCAGAGAATTTGGCTTTCTGTCCTTTCTGCTTCAGGACTGCAAAAGGTTATAGAAAAATATAGGTCAAAAAAGTTGCCCTTTTCCTTTTTGACATTGCTAAGACCAATACCCTTTAAATATGATTTCTGTGCAGGGTGCAGTAGCTGGGTTCAAAGCACAGGGGGCTACAGGTCCATTTCCAACAGTCCCAAAGCACCCAGGATGGGACTGTCTAGCCACTGAGAAAATTGAAGACCCAAATAATGCAACCAGGCCGTTCTGCAACAGGAGACAAAGGGAGGAACTTTTTTTGTGGAAGAACCTGAACCTGCTTGCCATGGACAAAGCAACGTTCAGGGAAAGCAGCCACCCTCACTTGAACCCTCAGATCTTTTGTGATGGAAAGCCTAAGGTTTAGAGAGTTCATGAAGGTCCAAAATGCTGGAAACCAGAAGCCTGAAGGGCAGGGCATCAAACATCCAGCCTGCGGAGCCCTGCCATCTGGCCCCTGTGCTGCCTTGGGTCTGATCAGATACACATGGGGTCTGTGCACGGCCCTGGTGTGGAGCTTGCCCTGGGATGCATGCCACACACAGTGCCCACGCCAGCTCGTCCGGGACCCCCCGGCTACAGGGCTACCCAGAACAAAATGTACCTGTGGGATACAATGCCACTTTTCCCTGCTCAGGTTCTCTGTCCCCGACACCTTCTCGCACGCGCTCCTTTCCCTCCCATCTGGAATCTCATTACTTTTCAAAGATACGTCCCTTTTGTTCCCATTAAACATCCTCCCACTTACTTTGCTCTGCCTGATCTCAGTCATTTTTTTTCTCCATTTGACCCAGTTTCTGCATTTTTAGGGCTCTTCACCCTTACCAGCTGCATTTTCATGAAAAAGTAGTTTCTCATCCCCCACATGAATCTTGCAGACAAACCCAGACTGCTAAAATAAAGTTATATTTGCTTTAACCAGATGTTAGTATAATATGACCAGTCAGAAGCCCAAGTGCCATTTTTGTACTGCAGGTTTCTGAACAGACACATTAGTTCAGAGCTGTGCAAGTGCATAAATACATTTAGCCACCAGTGTCTAGGCAGGTCTATTTGTGGTATCTGTCCTAAGGAAGTTATGCTGTCAAAATACATGTACTGCACATGGAGATAAGCTTCATTACACACTTTTTTCAGGAAATTTATTGTGCAGTTTGGAGACAGCTGTTTTATGTTTTATCTTCTGGAAAGCACCTCACAACTCAAATTCCAGGGAAACTGAAAGAAAAGACTTTTATATTCAATCTTGATTGAAAACAAAGCTTTATAATAGGGGATGAAACACAAAACATGCCCTTACTGGCTTCAGCCTTTTGGGCTCCTCAGCTATCAGTCGCAGTTTCAAGAAGGTGCAGTCTCGTGCGGTCTGGGTAAGAACTGTCCAAACCCACAAAGTTACCTTCCTTCTTTGAAATGCACCACTTCATGCTACTTCATCAGAAAATATGCAGCTGGGAAAACCTGAACCCTGCACTTGAGTCAACTTGTAAAATAAAAACAACTGCCTTGCCTACAATCAGCAGGGAAAATGTCTGTGTGGGGGAACCCACATTGTGCTAAAAAGAAACAGACCTTGAAATCCCCCACTATAAGCTGCTGCATGCGTGCCCTATAAAAAAGGCATTTCCTGTGCAGTCTAGTTTAGCCATTTGAAGGGAGAATTTTCTGCATGCATAGAGCTTTTTCAGGGCTTTGCCAGGTACTGCAAAATAACTTAATATTCTCTATGAACAAAGATGCTGTATTTACCCAAATCCAAACCGACTTTGAAAACAAGACAACCCTCCCAATAATTAGCTTCTATACACGTCTATTCTGTTCCCTGTACAGAACCTATTCATTGGAGTGTCGCCTTCAATTTGTACCGCTCCACCACCGCAGCAGAGAAAGCTGTTGAACTTAACACAGGTTTGCAAAACTATTATGAAACTGCCAACGCCAATGTAAAAATCAAAGAAATCTCTGATGTGATAACGCACTACATTTAAGCTACTACTAATCTTGTGAGTACTGGACATTCATAAAGTGCACAAGAGTGAGAGTAAAATACATTAAATGTCCTGGAGTATTTTCAGTTTATATAGCCTGTCAAATGTGCCATAGACTTGGCTACAGATATCACACCAAAGCATAACCCCAATCCTTATTGTTTTACGGGGCTCGGGACCACCATATGTTTTAGTCACTCAGCTCTACGCAGGAGAACTGGGAGAAATGCAATGGACTGTTGCACCCAGGAGGTCAGATCTGATGGCCTGATTGTTACTGGCCTTAAGAATGGGTATAATCTCTCTCTCTTTTAAACTCCTGAAAATTATTCCAAAACATTAAAACCTTCAACCAACACCTCAGATCACAGAACTATTAAAAAACACAGAGCCATGACACTGCATCAACATGTTTCTCCACGTACTTGCAAAAGGCACCTTTTATGTGGAATAAAAATGGCATCCTAAAATATCAAAATCTAATTATATTTTACACAGCAGATTAAGTCAGGTGGTATCAGAACAGTATTCAATTGATTACATACTAGGAAATACTGCACTCGTTACGCACAATCTAAAATACGCACTGAGCTTACAAGCCCTAGCAATTATTCTGTTGTCATTAATGGAGTCACAGGTTTGATCTCTCTTACCCTCCTCTCAGACACCAGACAAAATGCCCCCTCCTAATTATTCTCTCTGTGGGATTTTAGAGTCCCAACAACAAACACCGGATCTACACGTTCATGGACCGAGCTCCAGTAGTGAGAACCTGTAGCGCAGACATGGCCAAGACATTTTATTGCTGTTTTGTTTAGTCCTATAGTTAACAATACTTTTGCTGCACGACAGTTTTCACGTAACAGAAATAAGGCACAGATGCACAAAGGTACTTAGGTGCCTAGGTGCTTTTGCTTAGACTCTGGGCAGCAAAAATGAAGGTTAAAAGCAACTGGCCAACAGACACTGTTAGTTCCTGGAACTTAATTAAGGAAAGGGGGCTGGTAAGGGGTAAGGAACAGAGCTAAGCAAGCACAGATATGATCTCTATATCTGAAATGAGCAGGTTGACCCATAACTAAAGGTAGCATACATTTACCTCAATCAGTTTGCTACTGAACTGCTGACCAGTGCACATCAGTGGTCAAATTCTGCATGTGCTAGCCCCGAGTAAAAAACTCTTCCCTCCCCGCAACTGTTCTTTGCTACTGGGTCACATCCATTTCACTAATCCCTGTCAGTGTTTCTGAAATCCAGGTACGCTGTGATGTAAAAACACAACCAGAATTTACACAAAAAAAGAAAATCTTTCCAAACAGAAGATTGTGTGCCCAGTAAATAAAAGGAACCTGGTACATAACCTTCTAAGTAGCAATCCTGAGTCTTTACGATCTGTTTTTATAAAGGAAAAGGCAAGAACGAACATACTCTAGGGTGCAGGTATCAAATGTTTGGCAGCTCCATCCAGCCGGCAATGTCCTTAGGAGTCCAGGGTTACGGGATCCCAATGAATGCGGCCAGTGCCCTGCCACCACTGGAGCAGCCGCTGCCAGGCATGCTGGGGCACAGGGCGAGTTTGACATCCCTGCCCTAGGATGCACAAGGACACCACCTGAAAACCTGTAACTTGGTTTATCACTACACACTTGTCATTTCATTTGGACACACGCTCTTGGGAACGTAGCCG